CAACAACAACAACAACAACAACAACAACAACAACAACAACAACAACAACAACAGCAACAGCAACAACAACAACAACAACTAGAGGAATATTGTGCATTTATCCAGATGTCCCGTCTTTCTCTCACTGTGTCAGAACCCGCCTCTGATCGAGTCGGACTTCAGCATGGCAGTCATCTACGTCACCCTGATGGTCATCGCTCTGTCTGTGGGCACAGTGGGAAACTCTCTCATCCTACTGGCCAGCGCATGCGTGAAGAGTCTCCGGAAGTCTGGCTACATCTTCATCATCAATCTTGCCCTGGCAGACATGTGCGTGGCAGCTATTGCTGACCCCATGTGCGTCATCGGTGAGTACCCGATCGCCATCCCTACCCCCCCCAGAATTTCTTTAGCTGTACTCATCAATGTATTCATATTAAAGTGTCCTTCTCAATGTATTCATCTTTATGTGTTCATTTCATGTACTCGCCTCTACTATATTCACTTCACCATGTATTCACCCTCACTGTAGCCTTGTAGGCACGCCAATGTTATCATCTCCTTGTAATTACCCCCTCTATATTCACCACGTTGTAGTTACTTCACTGTATTCACATCACTGTATTCATATATAACTGTATTCACCTCACTGATTTCATCTGGTATTATTCACCCCAAAGTATTCACGCTAATGTATTCACCCTACTGTATCCACTCCACTTTACTAGCTCACTGTATTGACCTCACCGTTTTCATCTCCTGGCAATCACCTCACTGTTAAATATGTCATTCTGTATTCAGTGCACTGTTTTCCCGTTGCGTTCGCCCCCATCCTACTGTCTTCACACCGTTGTGTTTACTTCACTCTGTTCACCTCAATGTACTCACTCCACTGTATTCTTTTCACCGTATTCACCTCAATGAATTCCCCTCACGGTGTTCACCCCAGTGTATTCAACTCACAGTTATCTCATTGTATTCACCCCCACTATATATATTCATTTCCTTGTATTCACTTCACTGTATTCACCTAACCATATTCCCGGTGCAGCCGTCCTGAAGGGAGAGGAGTGGTTTAATGACAAGCCCTGGTTCTGTGAGACCGTGGCCGCTATGTGTCTGACTGCCTGTTTCTGTGCCTTCCTCAGCCTCAGTCTCGCCACGGTCAACCGGTGAGTGATTTGGGGGTGG